TTCACGACCAATGCTACGCGAGCCCCATCGATGTCCATTTCCTCATCATCACGAATAACGAGATGGTCGGCAGTCAAATGTTGTCCGAAGTGGTCCGCCTCCACCTGGGTTGATCCACCCTTGCTATACGATGGACGCTTGGTCATCTTTGCCCTCGAGCAATCTTGACAAAAGGGGTTCTTTGGGGTGTGAGTCAACAGATGCTGAACGGACTGAGCTTCTTCCTTAAGAGCTTTCTCTCCCCTAGCCCTCTTCGGGTCCAACGGCTTTTCCACCAACCTTTCATCCACTGGTTCCGGTTCCTCTTCGACAGGATCTTCACCAATGGGGTTGTCATCGTCGTCATAGACTTCAATGGCCTCCTCAGCCGGTGACGCGGGCAGAGGGATCATGGGTCGTGGTCCCCCCGATCGATCGCTCGAACCATAAGGTTGACCTATGGCAGACATCGCAACACCAGTTGATGACGGCAAGTATGGAACATAGTCTTCTACTTCAAGTTTGACTTTTGTACCGTCTGGTTTCTTGAAGTATGGCCTACTGTAGGCGGGCCAATGAAAGCTCCATCCTGCATCAATGCAGCGTTGTCCTACCGAAACGACGGCTGGGCTCTCGTCTAGGACGTATGGGTTGATGTCAGCTCCCAAGACGGGAACATTGACTCTTGCTTGATCAGTGGCTTGAAAGACTCCGTTGGCAGTAAGAAGACTGACCGGTTTGGACGATTGTGAGACCTCATCCGAATGAAGCATGTGCCTAGACACAAGATCGTGTGCGCTCCCAGTGTCAGCGATCCATGCAATCTCAGTGGCAGGCACTGTTGGACATGACCTCTTCTCAAAACACTTGATACAACCTATGTCGGAGTTGCGCAGGTACGAACATTCTGCCGGCAAGGACAAAAGCTCGTTCCTAACAGCATTCTGAAGGTGTGAGGCTGCAATGGATGCATCTTCAGTAGCGACACGAACTGCTTCAACATGCTCCGGTCGACCTGGTGTAAAGGATCTTCGTTTCTTCTTATTTCGGGGTTGAATGGATCTCCAATTGGAAGAAGATTCAACAGCATGACTACAAATGTTTGGTTGATCGTCAAAACGAACTCGTTGCGTAACAAAATTGTCAATGTTTTCTGTGTTGTCAAAATCGGTGCACATAGTGTTTGAGGCGGAAAGGACTGGCATGGCCACGCTTCCCAGCGGGCGTGCGATGAGGACGGAGGATCCCTGAGAGACCACTGCGGCCATGACCACAGCTCGTAGGAGGCAGACCGCTGCCGGTGCATTGGAGGAAGAAGATTTCCCACCTTTCCTCCGCTGACTCTCAGAGCCAGTTGAGTTGTCGGAGCCTGATGATCCCCGCGAGCTGCTTCGCTTGCGAGGCTTCTTTTCCTTCTTCTTCTTCTTCTTCCTTCTGTCCTCTTTCTTCGCAGGGACAGTCTTTTCTGGGTGTTGGAACGCACAGTCTTTTCCCCGATGACAATGTCCTGCTTTCCAGAATTTGCAAGTCTCCTTGCAAGATCCTGGCGTCAGTGATCTTGATCGAGATTGACTGCGATCCGCCCTTGAGGTCGTCGTTGACCATTTTGACGGACATAAGGTCTTCGAGACCATAGATTGCACCATGCTTGATGCTTGTAGCAAAGTACTCATGAAAGCGAAGGAGCGCATGTCTTCCCTTCACCTTCTTGTCTTCACGAGCACGCAGCTCCTTGAAGGTAGCAATCTGACGACCGAGGTCCCCCTCAGCGCAATTGGTCAAGCTTGCAAGAAGCTTTGCATCGAGGGTTGCAAACCCCTCTGAATCGTCCAGGGCATCGATGGTTTGGGAATCCTTGTATACTTTCCCAACCCACGTCCTGGCTTCATCCGGCTTTGCTGAAGCTGCGGCGATGTTGTCCCTCACCTTGATCTTCCAATCTCTGTATTTCTCAGGTGTGGGGAACTTGGGGATGAGAACCTTGTCAGCCTTTTTGGCCTTGTTCTCACGATCCCTGTCTTTTGATTTCTTCTGCTGCTTCTTCAGTTCCTTGCGGATGATGCGTGCAAGACGCGACGATTCAGAGCTTGAGTTATGGGAGCTATCACTTCCACTTGATGAGCTACGAGATGAAGGTGATGGAGAAGGAGAACGCTTCTTTCTGCGATCTCTGGAGCGGCCCCTCTTTGGGCTCTTTTCTTTCTTCTTCTCTTTTCCTTTCTTCTTCTTGTCTTTCTTGGACTTATCATCACCTTCTTCATCTGCATCGGATGGATGAGGTTCGTCAGCGCCTTCGTTCCCGCGCTTCTCCAATTGAGTGCGAAGGCTCGCTGGAGGCAAAGCTGGGGACCCTTGAGATCCAAGTGGCTGCTCGGGAGGTGCAGGCACTCGGTTCCCCGAGGCGTTGTCGAATCTCTCTCTCAACTCCTTGATGCTCCAACTCTGCTCGGCTAACTCTGACCGGAGTGCATCCTCTCTTTGCTTGGCAGAGGCGTGTTCGTTCTCGACGACGGCGTGTCTCTCGAGCGAAATCCGATCTAAATAAGCCCTTTGTTCATGAAGTTGTTGATTCTGATGGGCTGGGTTCATGTCACTTAAACGTTGATTGGCAAAAGCCTCAAGTTGTTCCCTAGACTCCTGGATAGCCGCTCTGGCTTGGTTTTCTACCATGTCTCTATATTGCCTAGCATCGTCTGCAACTTGTTGCCCATGCTCGGCCAAAATGGCCTGAACCTGTAATTCCGCAATCTGAGCTACCTGAGCTGACCTATCTTCATTGACGAAGACAGCTTGTTGATGAATCTGTCTGGCATCAACATTCTGGACATTCATCACAGGAGAGAACTCAGGTCGGAAAGGCGACGGAGTTTGAACACTAGGCATCAGGTCCCCCTGTGCACTGAACGTAGGTGGCGCATTTGGCACACGCAAATCCAGCGGAACAATAGGGAGCTCCAAAGCAGGTGAACTAGACATAGCAGGCGAGGTAGGACCGTAGCCTGAACGTGAGCGGTCACCACGGGAACCACCATCATCAGCCATGGCCTCTAGATAGTGCACTATCTATGGTGGGGTGAGACCAAAGCTAGTAGCAAGCACGTACCGCACTTATGGCGATACGGCTGATAACCTGTAGTTACAGGAAAACGACCGATAAGTACCACCTAGTCGCACCTGGTTTTCCTTGAGCCAAACGGTAGGTAAGTGAGACATGTATTGAACATACTAGCATGAAACAACAGTTGGAGAGACATCACGGCAGATTGGATGCTCAAGAGAGTCACGCTGTTGATCCCAATCTCAAAATGTGACCAAGTAATGCTGGGAGTAAGGAGAACCTTGCAGTGCTGCGGTCAAAGGTCCTGCCCAAGATGGTGCCCGTGGGCTATATGGTTGGAACTGTGGAAGTTGCATCAGACAGACAACCCGAGGCCGGAAGATCTAGTGTTCGGGGATGCCAATGGCCACAAGTTATCCAAGTTCAAGATGGTGGAAGGTTGGAAGCGCATCGCCCATGACCATGTACAAGGACATTCAGCGCGAAGAAGTGGAGCGATGCACTACGTGAGGCTAGGCGTGCCCATCCAAGAGTTAGAATTTCTTGGAAGATGGAAATCCTCAGTCGTACTCACATATGCCGAAGAGGCCTTGCAATCCGAACCAGCGAACAAGAAGCTGGTGGAAGAAACTCAACAAGCAAGAAGGAAACCACCTCGTCCCCCTCCAGTGGATGACGCAGTGAAGCAGAAGGAGATGAACACTCCTAACGACAAACCAACAGATGGAAAAGACTTGCTCGTGAGCAAGTTGCCGAAAGACTATGGGTGTCCTCCACTGCTTATAGTTCAGGGGAACGAGTTTGACACGTAGCAGACGGTGCAGAGTGGGACACACCCATGGAAGACTGGGTGACGGTCTGCGGATGGCCTTTCAGCAGAAGATCCACAAAAGTGGCTCTCCAGGCACAGCTGCAGTTTCATCAACGCAAGTGCAAGAAATGCTTGAAGAAGCTAGACAGCCGCGGCGGGGCGAGTGAGGTGGAAAAGGTTGGCGGCTGAAAAGCATGCAGCCAGCTGTTCAATGAACAGAAGAGGTCAATGAACCTGACCTTGACTACCAAGCAAAATGTATGCACTGCTTGGTGTTCACTGGAGGGTGGGAGGGAATGAAGCAAGATGAGCTGATGTGTCTTCTGCGCCTTTCAGTGCCGATCAAACAGCTGAAGGACTCCGAGATTGTGACGCAGAAAGCGGGTATCCAGTAGCATAACAACGCGCGCGAACCGGCTTAGGACCCCCTTCCCCAGGTCTCTCACAGGTCGCCTTCGAGATTTTAGCTAAACACTACGGGCAGGCTTTGAGTCTCACGCAACTGCAAGAATGTTGCAACAGCTTGTGCGGAGCCACCTTCAAATGCGTTTCCTGCAAGAGAACTGGTCCTTAGCGCGGCCTGACCTGAAACCATAACAGTACCAACAGCAGGGACCGTCCAGCCTGAGAGATTCCCAAAAATGAAGTTTCGGAGGGAAGCGGGGGGAGGTGCTGGTGTTCCTGTCGCAAGTGTTCCCAAACCAAGTTTGCCGCCTCCTGTTGTCGGCGAGTTGGAAGAACCGCTCTGTAGCGTAAAGTCGGCCAGGTACATGGTCGAGCGTCCCCAATTGCACTTCCAATCCAAGCTTTTGAAGATTCTGGATCCTGTATTGCTCAGGCCCCCTTTTCACCTACTGTAGGTTTCCTCAGGGCAGGATTCAGGGCGTGACTACTTTATCTGGAGTGTGTGGTGCTAGGGGGCGTCTCTCTCATTGTGTTTGCGTGGCCTATCATGAGCTGCGAGCTGTTGAACATGCCGACCCCTGAAATGACATAGATGCAGCTTTCGACCTTAGTCGTGCTGCTAGACTCACTGGCCCCCATTACGGCTTTTGTTTTGATCGCTTTGTAACAATGCCACAGAAAGTCCCTGTTGTTGGCGGTGTTTCGCCATTGCCATTTGGTATGTGTTTGCTCAAGCGTATAAGTGAGGTGTTGGAGACCTCCCGGCCTGGGTGGAGCGGTTAGCCTGTGGCTCTGATCAAATGCCCATTGAGGGTGTTCTGCTGGCTGCAATCACAACATGCATGCTCAAACCTTCTTTTTGAACGCAGTGGCATTTTGTGTGACAGGGTTTTTGGTGGGCCTGTCATAGACCTGGCGCGCCAAGGGATTGGTGAATCTTTGCTGGAAGCGTCTGAGGGGCTGGAGCGCTTCCGATGTGTCCCTCGCGGCACCAATTTGCGGTTTCGATCCATCACTTGTTGTGGTCGTTGTGGTCTCAGGCTCCGGGGCACTTGCTCAAGACACTCGCAAACTGAGGTGGTCGAGGATGCAACCGCTGTTGCAAGTCATTGATGGTCAGCAGTACAGAAGCGCACTCAGAGAGCAGCTTTCGGCTAGCTTGCATGGATGATGGACCGAATGACCTATGAGTGTCATGTGTATGTGCGAGAAATGGACTCACAAGGACGTGAGCGTGGATGAGCTCACATTTGCTTAGACCTTCGCTTTGAAGGGCTTGGGAAGCACAGAACTTGGGCCTTGGGAGTCGTCTCAATTTTCGGGGACAGCGTCGCAGACATGAAGCGACAGGTTTCTGGGTCGAGCGGCCAAGTTTTTCAAGAATTCACTGGCGCTTGCCCATGGGGAAGATAGGCCTCACAGACTTCAGGCGCGGTGGCAAGTTTCTCGTGGCCACCAGAAGCCCCCGCGGCCTCAGCTGGTCAAGGTCATACGAGTCATACATCATCACGATCTAGAGAGGAATCATTTTTTGGTTTCCCAGTCCTACACAAGAAGAGATCGAAACTTCGTTGGCCTCAGCTGCTTCCTCTGTTTACTTGGCAGCCAGCGACGAGACTTGAGGATTGAAACTGCACTGGAGTAATCGCAGATCAAACGGCCAACGTTTAGTTTGTTGAGTACCTCGAGTCTTCGCGCCTTGCATTTCAAGAAGGCTGCACTTGCGCTAGCTTCACACAGCCACTTTACCAGTGGCTCACTCTTGGATGGTGATGTTGAGTTTGATAGCTTTGACAGCTTTTGATTTGTTGATTCGCTCACGGGCTTGCTGTTTAGATGTCAAGCAGGGTGAGATGATGACACGTTCACCGGCGCTTAAGCGCTCAGTCTTGTGTCTTTGCCCTACGATGCGGTGGAGCACCTTGAGCTTTTAGGCCTTGGAACGCTTCACTCCAGAGGGCCAGAGCGGTCAGTGTTGCCGATCAGCGCGTCATGCAGAGGGGGAGCGGCAGAAGAATAAGAATAGGAACACGGTACATGTATTGTCAGACCACTTTTGTATATGTATATATATATATATTTTTACAGTATACATATTTGGCAGGTGCTATGGTACCGTAGGCTTTGCTTTTCGCCCTTACTTCTGACGTATTGCACGCACACTGTCAGTCTAGAGTCTAGATTTTGACTATGATGGAGTGTAGTTGTGTTTCCTGCCACTGGAAAGCTACAGACACATTGCAGCCCACCCCTCGGCAGGACTAGCGCCTGAGTCTTTTGTAACATGAAGGGGAAAGAATGCAAGCCAGACTGGTCTCACTCCGGGGCGGGTGCTTCACGCGAGAGTCTCCAGTTGGACACAAGACAGCGCAGGTTCAGGAATCCGAGCCATTTGCCTTAGCAGAGTCACGCATTTCAGGGAGGTTGTATTCAACACAAGTACGCTGCTGCAGAGCCTGATGCGCAGCAAAGTAGCAGCGCAGCAGATGGACCATGTATGCGGTTGAATGTGTGCGATATATACATCGCACTAGCCTTCGCAGTGAACCTAACCAATTTTATTGGGGATCTCAGTTCGAAGGTGTCCACAGCTCCTGGCTAGTACTTGCTGCATTCGTTTGGTGCATCGCATGCCATGGCGCTTTCTGTGTTAGCCTGCTTATCAACCGTGCTTGCAGCGCCAGCTGATATAGCCCTCGTTTTTGAGTCGCGGCTTGGCTGAAGTTGCTGTCAATGAGGTGGGTACTGTAAATTTAGTTCAGTGGGAGTCTGCAGCTTGCTCCCGCTGCCAACGTTGGTTGACATCGGCAAAGAAGAGACTTTCCTTGCTGTTGAACAAATATAGGTATACCAAAAAAGTATATTATATGACTTTCATGTTTTCCACCTTCGTCGGCCAAGAATGGATTTGGCCCGAGCTCTTGGCCCGGGGACTGCTCTCGCGCTTTCGTTCTTGGATCGCGCCGCCATAGACTTCGCTCCTCCTGTGCCCTACTGCATTGGTTCCTACTGGTCTTTGGATTGCTGGTCATTGGCTCTGGGTGTTTTGATTGGGGTGGTACTATTCCCACTGTTGGAACTGCTAGTAGCTTGCAGGATTTGCCTACATCAGGCTCTGCTCCGCCGGCTGTCTCCGGCCCCTCGCTCTAGGCCGCTTTACAGGGTCCTGGATCATTGAATGCCCCACAAGGTGCTGACTGACGAGGTTGCACAGTTGAGGGACGAGCTAGATCTTGTGAGGGGAGAGGTGGCAGGATTGCAGCAACTGCTTAGGTTCGTAGTGAAGTCAGAGAGCTTCGACAGCTGGTGCATCAAGGGTTGGACCAATCCGAGATCGGCAGCTCCTGTCCGTTTACGCTCGTGTTGGAGATTCTCGATTCAGAGGCACCTCATATCTCAGCTGAAAGGCCAAAGCCGTCGACAGCCGCAGCGGTTCGCTCACATTCTCCCCCGCTGGAGTCAGAGCGAGAAGCGGCCGCAAAGGCCGTTGGTTGTTTCTTGCGGAGGGCTTTGGAAGGGCAGCGCAGAGGAGAGTCCGGTCGTGATCGCATTCCCCAATCATCCCGATACTGGTTGGTCATTCGTGGGATTGACAATCAAGTTTTCTCCCCAATTCGAGTGTTCAGCAAGTGGGCATCAGCAAAGCCGCTGGTGAAGCGTGGTGCGGATTGCGGAGAGTCAGCGTTTGTCGGCCTTCCGGCCATGGAAGACATCAAGCTGGCTGTGGCAGCGGGGGCTTCACTTGGGAAGGCCTTGAGGGATGATTCATCCCGCACTGCTGGAAGACGAGGGAGAGGGCAGCTCGGTTGAAGAGCTCTCCAAGCCCTATGTTTTTCAAGAGGGTTGCGTGGATCATTTCTACCCGGCTGGAATCCGTTCTTTTGACACCCCGACAGTTTCCTCTCAGGTCGTTTACATCACTCGCCTTGAGGGGCATCTGCTCGTGGCCGTTCCATTCACTGCATGGCATCGTCTGAGGGCCAATCGTGCTCTCCCACCGAATACACTCTCGAAAGTGACAGCTGTGGAGGTGGCGATGGCGGACCCAGACGACCGCATGAACATCCTAGAACAGAATTTGAGAGTTTGGTTGGGCTTCCTTCGAGACGAGTTCGAAGCCTATGTCACCTTTCCTCGCGAAGACGAGGAAGCTGGCGAAGAGACTCATTTGTTTTCCCCTTGTGGACATAGCTCAGGATCACTTCAGCTTCTTCACCGCAGTCGAGGAAGCGGTCCCAGAGGCGGGTCTGGTTCTCCAGGCCTTTCATCGAGAGTCGACAAGCTGGAGTCAGAGATCCGTGGCATAGCGCAGGGCATTCAGACCTTGTTGAAGAGGCCTCCCGACAAGGAGGCTCCAGGCTCAGCCGTCCAAGCCAGATGCTGGTCAGGACCTCAAGACATCGTACCCCCTGCTCGACCAGGCTGTCGTTCGCTCTGCTCTTCAGGCTGGGGTTGCAGAGAATGTTCTAGAAGAGATGCAAAGCCTGATGGCTGCAGCGGGCGGCGTGAAGAAGAAGCTGAAGGAGCCTCCTGGGCCTGCGCCCAAGGCAAGCAATGTCCTGTCAGAATCAGAAGAAGAGCTCCGTCGAAGCGCTTATAGAGCCGGATGGCGATCCCATGGTGCAAGCCTTGGGGAAGCTGACTGCTATTGTCGAGAACCTCGCGGCCGAGAAGACCAAGAGAAAGAACCCGGCTCTGGATGCTCTCTTAGATGGGGCTCATGGGTCTGGATCAGACAGTGCAGGCAGCGGCGCTGGCAAGCGCTCAGCCATAGCCCGCCGGGCGCTGGTGAAAGCTCTGACCAGTTCACCTCAAGAGGTCTATCAGCTCATCGAGAAGCGCGTGATGGAAGATCTGTCGGGCAGGACTCGGACTCCGGCTCAACCGGAGCCCACTTTGTCAGCCCGGGCTTGGGTGGAGCACCGCTCGTACATAGGACAGTACAAGACCTTGGCCCACTCGGCGTGGGGCATCAGTGGAGTGATCGACTGCTTGGTGACGGGCAAAGTCGAGGAAGCCAGGGCGCGAGCGAATTTGCTTCTGCTACAGCTGGATCAAGTGGCTGCGGATCGGGGCTCCTGGCAGCTGGCAGCTTCGTTGAGTCTGGAAGCCCTGCCTCCTTTTGCGACTCTGGCCACCCACCATCCACCGGACGTGACTATGGGGGAACAGCCTTTTTCGAAGTTGCTGGACCCAAGATGGTCCAAGGTTGCCTTGGCCTACCTGAAGGACACGGACGACTACATCGAGAAGCGCAAGAAGCTAGGCCAGAAAGGGGGAAAGAAGGAAGACGGCGACCTCTCCAAGGAGCAGCCGTCTCCGAAGCGGAAGGCGAAAGCGAAGCCTCGCCGGTTCGGGGACAACACTGCAACCCCGGAGGCTTAATTCTGGATGGGATCAAGTGGAGCAGACGCCTGCCTCGCCGACAAGTGCGACAGTTCCGGGCGCTCGAGCTAGCTCCATCAATGTTCACGCAATCTTGATTTCACTGCCACGCTGGTTGCTACAAAGTCATTGCACCTTTAGTGGTTTTTTGCACACCATTCTCCAGAGCCCGAAGGTCCCTCAGAGGGGCTTCACGTCAAGTGCCGGTGCTGTGTGGCCTATTCCAGTCCCTTCCCTGAGGCGTTCCGAGGAGGGCATCCAGACACATCATCTCTGGCAAGGAAACGCTTGATTTGTCTTCAGGTGGCGCTTCTGGACTGGTTTGTCTTGGGCTCTCCTAGTGTGGCTCCCAGGAGTTTGAAGTTGGGGGCTCGTCTTTCAGCAAAGCAATGGAGCATTGTTCACAATTTGCAGCATTTGGCCTTTGACAGTAATTTTCCAATTAACATTGATGCAGACCAAGCTTGAGACGTTTGAAGATTCCCTCAATGCATTGCACCATGGCCTGAGTGGCTCTTGAACAGCCTCGCTACTGTGGTTCCTCCGTTACAAAGCTGGTTTTCGACTATGAAAGCTCTTCTTTGACAGCTGGTGCACCTATTGGCAAAGTAAGCAAAGTGTGTGTGAGTCCAGCCAAGGCCATCGAGCCTGACAGGTTGGAGTTTCCTTCACCCCCTGCTTTTGACCCGGTGCCGTTCTTGGATCCTCAAACTGCTGAAGTCCACGACCTCTAGCTGTGGGCAAGACGTGGGCTGACATCCATGAGCAGCCGCCTGCGGTGCATATTCGTGCCACCAGGCTAAACAAGCTGGACCTGCTCAAGAAGCTCTGTGACTCCGCAAGCCGGTGCACAGGGACAATGTCAGAAGTTCCTTTTTGTCTGGCCTTTTTGCGGCGCCCAAGAATCTCACCCGTGACAGATTGATTTTAGATGCTCGCCCTGCTAACATGGCTGACAAAAGCTTTGCAGAAGTGGTGCAAGTCTATATGGCTTCAGCAGCTATCCTTTCAGACATAGTCCTGGAGGAGGACGAGATTCTGATTGCTTCTGGAGAGGACTTGCGAGATTTCTTTTATCAATTCCGCGTGGGAGAAGAGCGCGCCAGGCGCACATTGGACGAAGCGGCTTATGTCTTTGGCACGGCTCCTGCCGCTGGCCTGAGCCCATTTACTGTGGGCTTTGCACCTTGGCTATGGGCGACCAAAACGCTTGCGAGTTTGCTCAGTGTGCACACCTGGCTTTGATGCTGCGGGCGGGCGTTGTTGAGCCTCATGAGATGTTGAGCATGCAAGGCGACATGCCCAGAGGGCTCATGTCGGTTGGAGTGATCACCGATGATCTGGTGCTTCCTGAGAAGATGCTTTACAAAGATTTCCCGGGTGTCGAATCCGGGCTGAGGCGGACCCTTTCAGATGAGAGACTTGACAAAGCTCTGCAAGCATATGCTGCATGCAAGCTGGAGGTCAACCTCAAGAAAAGGAATTCAGGAACCAAACAGATGCCAGATTTTGGGGCATTGAGCTTGACGGCAAAAAAGGGTTAGTGCGAGGATCGTCACTGAGAATGTGGCCTTTGGTGGTTGTCACGGCAAGGGTCGCCATGCTAGGACTTTGCGCTGTAAGCCTCCTCGAAGCTTTAGCAGGGTTTTGGGTTGCATTGTTGTCAGTGCGGAGAAGATTGATGTGAGCGTGATGAACAGCATGTTTGAAGGTGTTGCAATTGCAGATCAAACCACAGTGTTGAGGCTTTCAGACGTCATCATCGAGAACTTTGGTGTTTGGTTTTGTTAGGACTCTAGCTGTGAGCAACCTTCGTGCGCAACACGCCCCCTTCATCACTGCAACTGATGCATCCACTGGGTGGCTTGCGGCTGTCAGAGCTGATGCTCCACAAGCCGTCGTTGCCGAGGTATCGAGAAGGGGCCTGCGCAAAGGCCGCTGGGCCAAGCTTCTGCCACCACGCCAGGCGTGGCGGCGAGCGAATGGGAGTTTGGCGCCGGAGGATGAGCTTCCTGCTGAGAGTTTTGATGCTAGGTCGCTTTGGGTTTTACTAGCTAGAACACTTGTTTTGAAGAACGGTGGAGGAAACAGGTGCTCAGGCCTCAGCACATCAACATCTTGGAGTTGAAAGCTCACTTGCTAGAAGAAAGGCGTCTGGCTCAGCAACATCAGCATAAGCGATTTCTCTACGGACTTGATTCACAAGTTTGCCCGGGCGCATAGGTGAAAGGCAGAGCAGCATCACGTAGGCTTAGCAGGGAATTGGTCAAGTCTCTTCCATACATGTTGGGCAGTGATATTTACAGCTCGCACATGTACTTCCCCAGTAAACTCAATAGAGCCGACGGGCCAACCAGAGACTCTGTACCAGAACCGCCTGATTCTACCTCTGCCTCCATGGTGGTTCGCAGCTTCACAAGGTGACTTTGAAGAGCTTGACAGATGGATTGAGGAAGTAGAGAAAGCAGTTTTTACAGCTGATGTTACCGCAGCAGAGCTCCTTACGCCAGTGCGACCTGAGATGAAGAGTGGTTCCAAACTTTTTTCTAGACTCAGGGACAAACAGCTCTGCAAAACCATCCCTTTGAACGTTGAGGGAGGTGAACTAGACAGTCGTGCTGCTATTTTGTTGAGAGAGTTCCCAAGCAAACAGTTCTTTTTTGGTGCGGACTTCAAGGACTTCAATGTTCCTGGCGCTCTTGACCTGTTCCCCGGATCGTTTGGAGTTGCTCGCGCCCTCATTCGGAACGGAGCACCTTGGGTCTTGACACTTGAATGGAAGCGCAGCGTGTCTGAGGATCTTTTACAAACTCCTCTCCGTACAAAGCTCAAAGAGCTGCTCGGCCTTAGGCTTTCAAAGTTTGGGGCGCCGCCCCAATCTGCTCTTCGTTCTCGGTAGCTGTGACGCCGCCCGTGAGATCGCCACAGTATCTCAGGGGCAAGCCGGGCCTCTCTCCTGCGATGAGGAAGAAGGTTCGAGACGGAAACTCGCACTCCGACTTTATCAGCGACCTGATCGAAATCTCAGAGAGCCAGAAAGAGCATTCTTTTCTGGATCGAGAATCCTGATACCAGCTGGATTTGGCGTCAAAAGCGGTACAGAAAGTTCCGCGCTGCCGATGCCGATACTGTTTTCAGATGCACTTTCTGTCGTTTTCACACACCATGGAAGAAACCGACCCGTTTCGGAACGAACATCCCCGGGCTCAGAGGACTTCGCGTGATGTGTCGATGTTCCAAGAACCATTTACAACTTCGTGGCAACTCGCCGTTTGGTCGGCCTTGGACGCAGATTGCAGAACCATACCCAAGAGCGCTCTGCGACTTGATCGCCAAAGCTTCGTGCTGTGCGACAGGGTGGAAAGGCTATGCCAGACTTGACGTTACTGGATGTAGCAAGACAGGCTCTCTTCGACCCGGTGAAGCAACAACACCTGGTCCCAGACGGCCTAACAGACCCAGAAACATGAACTTGGAGGACGTTCAACTTCTGAGTGCAGCCACGCTGATGAGAGAGTCTCACGCCTTGACACGTTTTCTTGGATGGGTTGGTAGGCTTGTCAGCAGTATGCCCCCGGAAGAACTTCTCCCTAGAGCGCCAGAGTTTTTAGCGGCTGCGTTGTGCGTTTTTGGAAAGGTTGAGTTTGAGAGAGGCGGTGCTTTGAGCAGTTTCCGGCACCAGAGATGGGTACCTTCGGTGCGTGCATCAACTTCACCATGTTGGGAGGGAGCTTGTTGAGCCAGTCACTCACAGGGTTCCTGTGCCTGAAGGATTGGTCAAAGCCATGATCGTTGTGGGGTGGCACCTTGGTTAGTACAGCTGGGTCGGGATAACTCTCGTCGCCTACAATGGTGCTGTAAGAGTAGGAGAGGTGATCAGGCGTTGTCGTGTTGACATGCTGTTCCCGTCTGACATACTTGATGTCGACCATGCTGGAGTTTATTTGAATCTTCGGCAGTTCAAGGCATTGGGTAGGCAACCAGCTCGCATACAATACATGGAGATTCACGACTCTGTAGCTTCACGTTTACTCTGCAGTATCTATGAACACTATCCCAAGGATGCCCCTTTGTTCAGTGGATCGCCTTCTTTGTACAGGCGGCGTTGGGACGCCATTTTAAAGCTGTGCAGCTTTCCAAAAGAGCTGAAATTGACACCAGGTGGACTGCGTGGAGGAGCAGCCGTCATGATGTATAGGAAAAGGGTGCCTATTCAAGACATCCTTTAGCGACTTCGGCTGAGGACCCAAGGAACTCTTGAGTCGTACCTGCAGGAGACGGCTGCAAGCGCAGTTCTGGCTAGTTTAGATGCCGCCACGAGGCAGAGGCTTTTGAACATTGCGTGTCTTTTTCCTTGTTTAGGGCATTCGTTTCCAGGCCCTCACTCTTGAGGACGTTTGACCGTCCGCTCCGCGGAAGGCCATGCTGGACAGTCTTTGCTTGCCTGGCCCGCTCATACGAAGTTTGGAACGGAGCTCGCGCCCCTCTCCTTGTTTAGAGGCACTTGGTCAGCTTCAACCGCGCAAGCTTGCATGGGCGGAGAAGAAATGTCCGCTTAGCTTGGAGAGTCAGAAGGTCAGGTCAAACATGACTTTCATGTTTTCCACCTTCGTCGGCCAAGAATGGCCCACCACACCCACCCTGCAGCCTAAGCCTGGGAATGAAGCTAGCCTTTGCTCCGGGCGACCTTTGCGACTTCTCCTGCGGAAGCCCTTCGTCGCCCACACTCTGTCGATCTCTTGACTTTCCTCGTGTCAGAGCCCTTTTCGACTGGGCACCGCTTCTTTGAGAATGCCACCGCCAACCTACTTGAACTTGCGCGCTCCTACGCCCCCTTGTTCAAGGGACAGCCCTATGAGTCTCTGAGTACCGCGAGTACTGCAAAAGGCTGAACCTCTACCGCAAGAAGATGCTTCTCGGCAAGAGGGCCGGAGAGAGTGTCCGTTCCGGTGTCCTCCTGGCGCCTCTTCGGGACTTCCCTGTGGAGGACTGTGAGAAGGAGAATGCCTTCGCCCGGGCTCTCTCCATCCTCGACAAGAACTTCGAGTACGACGGCCGAGTTCTCCTCCCCACAACAACTTTGAGAACTACTTCACGAATCTTCAACGGCGACGTCAACAGAGCCTCTTGGCGTTCGTGACCGACCATGACGAGGCCTGCCGAAAGATCACCGGCGACAAGATCACCTTGCCCAGCCAAGTTCAAGGTTGGCGCCTGCTCGGAGCAGAGACAGATGGTGGCTGCCGTGATCGAGGCCCTCTTCCTGCTCTATGGCCAGGACTACAAGGCTGGTGGTTGGTCCAATGAGCGAGGAAGGGACGAGGCTTGACTCGACGCTTTCGATGAGGACCCTGACCAGTCCTGCATGGGAGGACGTGGAAAGAGGATGAGCCCTACATCCCCGAGTGACGACGCCGCCTTCGATGAGGACGTGGTCTACGATGGTGGTGGACATGAGGACTGGCCTGAGGAGCTGGGCGGGCATGATGATGCTGGCTCTGTGGCCGAAGCCTACGGCTCAGCCTATGCCACCTACCTCGACGCCCGCCAGCGGTTAACAATTCAAGGTGGGCAGGGGCTACTTGCCATTTGTTGCCCTCGCAGATGGACAAGCCGCCTCATCCACTTCTCCATCAACTTCGACCTCAACTGGACACGGAAAAGGGCGAGACAAAGGCCGTGAAAAAGAGAAGAAGAAGGACAAGGGCAAGGGCGCCCAACGTGTTTCGCTATCCTCCCTCGACCGGTGTCTTCGCTGCGGCCAGCCTGGCCACTGGGCAGCCAATTACCCTCAGAACGCCAAAGGCAGTTGCTCACCAAGCAACAAAGCCGCCAGCTCCATGCTGGCCCTACTGGCCGAGACCGCATTGTTCCAAGAGCAGCGTGGCTTGGATCACCCTGAGGCAACCATGTTGGATCCTGGGGCATCTGCATTTCTCAGTGGCTATGGTCCCTTCCGCCAGTGAGTTGGGATACCCTGTGAACACTATCCCTTTGCTCGCTGTGAACGACAGTTCCAATTTGGTGGAGACACCTTATCCAAGGCTCGCTGGATCGTTGACCTGCCGGTCGCTACCTGGTGCGTCCTGTCATTGCAGCTGCGTATGAGCATCGATTTCAGCGGCAAAAGTGAAGCTGGAGGACTTCAACAAGATGGAACACATCTTTGCCGCTGATGATCATGTGCTTGCCGACAATGGTCTAGCGCTGGAACCTTTCAAGAAGAACTTCCTCCTCCACACACCATGGAGCTGAACATCCAATCTGCGACATCGCAGACCGAGGCCTACCTCACCAAGGAGCTGCGCGTGGAGGAAGCATCCAAACGAGTGCTATATGGGAAGTATACTGTGGTCAGAGCCGGACCTCTCAGTTGGCCAAGTCCATGGGTATGATCGTCCACCGCTTCAGTCAACTTGCTAGAGCATCAACGACGGCTACTTCAACGGCAGCGCAGGAGCAGATGCCCGATTAGGTCTTGCTAGCTCCGACGTGCAAGCTCTGGTCTCGGATGCAAACTCTGGCATGTCGCTCCGAAGCACAGCGAGAGGCTCTCGTTGCCGGCCGAGAACATCGCCATCAACTATGGCTCAAGTTGAAGGCGAAGGAGCTCGACATGCCCACTTGGAACAACCTCGCTTGGCGTTGAGCTGGAAGACTACGGCTCTTCGCACTCTTCCTGGCTATGCGGCTGACTTTGACCAGTGTTGCTATGGGGCCCACTGTCTGGATGTTGATGGACAGTGGAAGTTGGTCCAGAAGCCAACACGCATCCAGACCACCAAGAAGGCGGTTGCTGAAGCGATGCATCTTCGTAGTGCGCCCAGACACGGGAGCCGCACGTGTACATGGAGGACTATCAACCCGGCATTGCTGCTTTGGCTGCTGCCCTCCTACAACCTGAGCTACCACATCACTGGGAGACTGGCCTGGCAGTGAGCACCGCCAAGGCTGCTGGCCATCTGG